TAGGTAAATGAATGAACGGATGCATGCATGCATGCATGCATGTATGTATGAGTAAATAAGTGACTGAATGAATGGATGGATGAGTAGATAAATGGATGGATGGATGCAAACACATGTGAGTAGATAAGTGAATGAATGATTGAATGGATGGATGGATGAGTAGATGAATGGATGGATGGATATATACACATGTGAGTAGGTAAGTGAATGAATGATTGAATGGATGGTTGGATGGATAAATGTATGTGTGAGCAGATAAGTGAATGAATGGATGGATGATGGATGGATGCACACATGTATGAGTAGATAAGTGAGTGAATGGATGGATGGATAGATGATGAATGCATTGTGAGTAGATAAGTGAATGAATGAATGAATTAATGCATGTATGAGTATATGAGTGAGTGAATGAATTAAAGGGCAGCTGGATGAATGCACGTGTGTAGATAAATGAGTGAATGGATGGAAGATGGATGCATTTGTGCATGAGTGAGTAGTGTTAATAAATTTGTGAATGAAGGTGTGAGCGAGTAGGTGAATGAGTTTATGAATAAATGAATGCATGTGTGAGTGGATGAGGAATCAGTGTGTGAATTAATGCGTGAATGTGTGGATGAATAAGTGGGTTTGTAAATGATTGCACAGATGTAAAGATGGATGTGTGTGTGTTTGTGAATGAGTGAATGATTGACTAAGTCAATGAATGCATTTGTGAGTGGATGAGTGAATGAGTGTATGAATGAGTGAATGAGCAAATGCACACAAGAGTTGGGAGCCGCAGCAGCATGGGCTCAGCCCAGGGACAAGACTGAGGCTCCAGGGAATGACCCTGGAGGGGAGGTCAGAGGGCACTCTCCCCCAAACTGAGTGGGGACCAGGGCCTGGAACTGCAGTGGAGTGTGTGGGAGACAGCTGAGGCCCCGTGTGATTTGGCTGCATGCAGAGAAGGGGTGCAGAGTCCAGGGAGAGGCCGAGCCATGATCCAGCCCCACCCCCTTCTGGTCCCCAGGTATCTGGTCCTGGAGCGGGGAGAAAGAAGGGACCTAAGATACAGGCTGGGGTGGGGGGGTGGGGGGCGGACAGGAGGTGCTCCTCCCGCACTTGAGGCCGCTCACCTTCAGCATCTCCAGCACCAGAGGCTTCTCATCCTCTCTCATCTCCCGCACCGACAGGCCAGGGGCCATGGCGCCCTCGGGCCCGAGCCCCTGAGGGAGCAGGCAAGCACCTGAGGAACCCGAGGAGGTCAGCGGGCACCATGCCCTTCCCCACGCCCCCTTCATCCTAAAGCCCCGGGCTCCACGGAGGACGGGGCTCATTTCAGTCGTGACCCAAGAGCAGACCCCAGACTCCACGACCGCGCGTCCTGGGCGCCCTGGAGCAAGGGGCCCCTCCCCTAAGCAACGACCTTTCCCAATTCCATGGATCCTGCCCCACCCTACCCCCGGAGCCCACAGCGCTCTTCCCCTAAACACCCAGTAGATACCCGCATCTAGCACCCGGGGCCAGGGCAGTCCTGAGGCCCCTTGCCAGGGACTGGGCTACATCCCCTGGGCAGCGTCCAGGAGCGCGCACCTGTCTAGGGCCTCCGCGGGGTCGCTGCGATCCTTTGACAGGCTGCAGGGGTGGGGGTGGGGGGGTGGGAACCCGGTGGAGAAGGGGTCGCCGGCGGAAGTGACGTGGCTCGCAGCAGGGGGGGTAGTGGGAGGTGCCTGATTCAGCCTTAGCAACCGTTGCCAAGCGTCAGGGTGAAGGGACACCTTCACGGTGGCTCAGTGGTCCTTGGAGATGGATCAATGGGGGAGGGGGGCGCGTTTGGGTCTAGACCCTGGAGGGGCAGGATGGTCTGGGGTCTGGGGTCTGGGTCCAGGCAGGGAGAGCGCTACTCACCAGCCCTCAGAAGATGAGCGCTAAAAAAAAAAAAAAAAGATGAGCGCAAGCACGCTCGCGTCAGGACGTTCCTTGGTTGCTAGGCAACATGAGCAGCGGGTGTGTGTGTAAGTACGTGTCAGAGATGGGGGAGAGACAGAGAGATGGATGGGCAGACCAATTCTCTTTGGTCCTGGGTGCCTCGGCCTTCGCAAGAAGGGATTGGATAACTGTCAGCATCCAGGGTACAGGCAGTGGCGACCCCTTTCCAAGTCCGGTACCCCAGCGCCTGGGCACGTGGCCCCTGAAGACGGCCCCACGCAGCCCTTTCTCGGCAGAAGGGCGGGATGACTTACAAGTGACGCAAACCTCCCCACTATATGGTTCCTGTGTGTCCTTCCTTCCCTGAAGGGCAGGGACCCACAAGCCGAATCCCAGCACCCCCTACCCGCAAGGAAAACAAAACTAGAGAGATTATAGGTTTTTATTAGCAAGCCCAGCCTGCAGCCCCTTCACTTCCCAGGCAGGCAGAGTCAGGGGTTACGGATCCACCCTTGGGGGAACCTCAGAACGTGTGCACCAGCTGGACCGCAGGCAGGGTCTGCAGGATCTGAATGGCGGGCAGGCCTGGCTGGGCTGCGGGCCCCACAGCTGCAGGGAGCACTTGGACCATCTGGGGGGCAGGGGCCGCGGGGAGGCCTGTAGGGGCAGGGACCGAGCCAGCCACGGGTGGGGCCAGGAGCTGCAGCGCAGCCCCG